AAAGAGACGAATGCAGTCATGATATTAGAATTGACCCCAGGGTCTGCCCCACCCTTGCAGACTTAACCCCTGGGTCATAACTTTGAAACGGTTAAGATCCCCACCCCAAAACTATATATACAATTGTTGGGCATAAAGAGACGAATGCAGTCATGATATTAGAATTGACCCCAGGGTCTGCCCCACCCTTGCAGACTTAACCCCTGGGTCATAACTTTGAAACGGTTAAGATCCCCACCCCAAAACTATATATACAAATGCTGGGCAAAAAGAGACCAATGCAGTCATGATATTATAATTGATCCTGGGGTCTGGCCACAACCCTAGGGACCTAGTTTCTGAGTCACAGCTTGGAAACAGTTGAGATCTCCACCCCATAACCATACATATAATTGCTGGGCATAAAAAATCAAATACAGATATGCTACAAGGATTGGCCTTGGGGTCTGGCATATTCCCTTGGATCTCATTTGGAGAATATTTTGCCATGATTGCTTAGATATCCAGGTGAGCAATACAGGCCCTCTGGGCCTCTTGTATATATATGTAACAGGAGAAAGAGAAATGCAACGGCCAGACTGAGGTTCGAACCCAGACTCTCCAAACTCTAGATGTCACTCTACCAATTGAGCTACCTGGTCGCTGACGATCAACCCAGTCCAGTTCTGCTACATTCCTCCCTACTTTTTCTAAGTCTTTGCTCCCTAATACAACACTATACAATTCAGTCTTGGATATCCCCTTGCTAAGCAATCACCCAGTGCTTGAAACAAGGGTTAGCAAGCTAGCCAATTTTGTAACAGGAAAAAGAGAAATGCAACAGCCAGACGGGGTTTGAACCCGTGACCCTCTGAACTCTAGATGTACGCTCTACCAATTGAGCTATCTTGTTGCCGCCGATCAACCCAGTCCAGTTCTGCTTCGTATACACTAAGAAGGTGTCTACAGATGACGGGGCCACTTTCAAGTGATATTTCACTGAAATGTCGAAGTCTGGACAGGGAAGCATGACACACGCCCCAGTCACATTATTCTGAACAGGGGCTTATCTTTTTTGTACCAAAGATGGTTAGAGATTTTGTATTGCTTTGTTTTTAATTGATGGGATTATAACCAATTCTCTTCCAATTAAATAGACAAAAACACATGTACGTGACAACACAGAACAGGAAGGGGAAAAAAACACTATTTCATTATATCAGCAAGATATATCTTTGCAGATGTTAAACTCTACAAGAAAAAAAAATCACTGTTCTATAATATCAGAAAGGTTTTATCTTCACAGATGTTTAAATTTACACGACCATTTGTATTTGAAGGTCACGTTTCAAGTTGGTTTGTAAACATAAGTGATATGTCTAGCTGCAGAAACTGATTACATTGGCCCTGAACACAAACTTTACCAAAACACACAGGACAGTGTAGCGTTTCCTGTTTTGCTCCAGCAGAGATAAAGACTGGATTTCTGGTATCACATACTGCTCCTTCCTGATTGCCAGGTTCGGAAGGGTTTCACTTAATTCTATACAGATGTGATTTCATATACTTACATACAGATAATAAAACCTGATTTGATATGTGATATTGCACATGATACTGATGTTGATTGCTATTGCAAGTTTGTTTACAAAGGGGGGAGGGGGCTGGGGGGTGGGGGAGGAAGCAGGATAATGTCTTTTTAACATTTTAAATGTCAAAGAACGCGTCAATAATACTATCAAATGGTAAATAAATTTGTTCTGTTAAAGATGATTGGCGATAAAGACAATATTACTACTATCAATTCTAAATTGATATAATATACTGGGAAATAGATAAGGAAAATCTGATTGAGCCATATATTTCAGCAAGTACAGAAATTATAAAACGCTGAGCCAGCTAGAAATGAGGTGATTTTACTAGAAGCTACTTTCAATTTCCTTCGGACTTATTTGATATTTTCTCTGAATGCAAATTTTATAGTTACTGCAACACTTATCCCAAAATGTAAAGAAAAATAGCTACTGAAAATTCATCATTAACTCATTCACCCCTGAAATTTCATAATGAACTATTCTAACCTTTGAATTGGAAGAGTTCAAATGAGTCTTCAGGGGTGAATGAGATATTGGCCATGGTATATCATTTATAAGTTGACTTGCAGAGAGATATGAATTTAGAGCTTTTG